TCGAAAGCAATTCTTAATATATTGTATAAAAGATACCTCTTTTCACCATCTGGAAACCTCGTTGAATCGTGACAAAGGGTTGTATCATATATATTCTATATATTATTGCTTCCTACGCTATTTATATATACTAAAAATAAAGGTTTACTTACGCGGAACAAGTATCTAGACTCTTCTTTTCATAAAGTTTATATTTCGCTAGTCATTGTAGCCTAAGATATTGAACAATTTTTTCGATAAACCCAAAGAATTGAAGGAGAATAACGTGGCGTGTTAAGAAACAAGCCGTGTCAGAAGGGTGAATTTTCTTGTATTCCTCTGGCGCGTTAACAAGGGGCTTCTACATGACCGGAATATTTTTGTCACCAATTTCCTTAAGCGAACGGCTTAACGCCCCGGAAAGTTACGCGGACTTACCTGAGGTTCCCCGTTTCTTTCGATGGATTTCCAATGCTTATATTACCAGAAACAAGCCCTTCAAAGGAGTTCCTTGCGATACAATTGTATAGATTTAAGTTTAAAGTAAATTAAACTTTTAAAAAGTCATAAGCAATCTATTTCGAGCGAATTGACTAGCTCTAGTTTTTAATTCACTGTTAACTTGATTTTAAAACGTGTATATTACCATAATTAGGACCGCTTTGGCAATCGTTTTGTTCCTAATATCCAATTCCCAAAACACGATTTGAGAGAACATCAGAAAACACATTTTATGAAAGCTGTTTAGATTTCTAAGCATACCACTATTATAGTGATCGATTGTTATAAAATGTAAGATAGTCGAAAAATAATTTATTGATTTTCGCTGAGCTGTCATACCAAAGGCCCAGTCATTACTATTTATTTGTTACGCGCTTGATTGTGTTTGCTTTCAAATGTATCATTAACGCACTAGTCACTCAATATTGTATTTTTAACTGACTGCAAAAAATGAGGAGGAGGCTCAATTCGACCGTATATATTTTTATTTTTTTATGTGTGTTCACGGATAACTTCGTCGCTTATGAACCGATTTTGATGATTCTTTTTTTGTCAGATAGGAGATATCCCAAGAGTGGTACTATGCTAAGAATACCGGATCTGGATCAGAAATCGAGGGCCATCATTGAATGTTATATATCTATTAACAATGTTTTTTAATTTTCTGATTGAAGTCGGTTTGTTTTTTGTTATTATTATTAAGTGACTCCTTCTGTCCTCCTAAGACGAGCACGACGACTTGTCGCTCTCTGTTTTCGATCAACAAGACGATCGTTGCAATTACATCATATTTTACAAAGTGAGCTCTGAAACGCGAACCGATCGAATTGGACGGTGGCGTCTGACAGTAACTCGAGACATCCGAAGTCTCGTCGGCTGAGGGCTATACATCACTTAAAACGACACAGACATAAATCTATGGTGACTGCTCGTTACTCGCAGTCGCCATGTGAACCGCCAGTTTCGGGTGAATATTAACGATATCGCCAATTTTCCGCAAGCTTAGCCGCGTCGCAATTTCTCGCCAATTGAGCAATCGTATCACACCGTGGGGGGCTCGGCGCGGCGCGGTGGTGAAAAACCTCTCGCGAAGTGCACGTTGTCGCCATATCTCAAATCGTTCCAGCCGCCTCGTGATACAAGTTATCGCGTGAACGTCACAAGGAATTAGATACCTTTACGGTGTTCTGATTTAGTATCAGCAGACTGATTAATTATTGGATTTTAAACATGTTTTGGGGTTCCGTACCTTAAAGGGTACAAAAGGAACCCTTATAAGATCTCACTCTTTCGTCCGTCTATCTATCCGTGTGTCACCATTGATTTTCTCAGAAAAGGGTGGACCTAACAAATTGAAATTTAAACTAGATACTCAGGTGTGTAATCTCTATTAGGGGTATAAAAATCAAGGTCTTGAGACAAGGCAAATTTAGATTTTCGCGAAAAAGAGAAAGTACCAAAATTTACCTTAATTTTCAACTTTTTTGTTTTTGTGCTGTAAGACCTTCAACTTGCAACTACCCACTCCTGAGAAAATCGGTGGTGATTACTTACCAATTTTATTATGGCGATATAATGGGTACGTACGGAAACCTAGGCGTACGACTCGCTCTTGACATAAATAAATTAAATATATATATATATTTTATTGTGTACATTTCAAGAAACATATATTATAATATATACCTACCCGAGCTTTTGATAAATATTTACAAATATTACGTGTTCTTGTGTTACTCAAAATTTCAATAATTTACTATCAGCTAGTTTACCGTTTGGGGAATTAAATCATAATTTATTCTTATTTTGAATATAATTTTTTTTGTTGCAATCTCTCACAGAGCGGTTCATCTAATCTAGGAAGTAATAAATTAATAATTGTAAGTCGCATCATTTGACTCGCAATTGATTGCTTGCTGTTGGGTTTTTCATAGTATTTTAACCTAATGTATTTAATTTTCTTTAAAAAATGTGAATAAATTCGGATTCTTTTTTTTTTGTCAAATTGCTTCGCCGATGATTTTATGATTATTCCCTCCACCGAAAATTTGTATTATATAAATTGAATATTACAAACAATTGTACAACTCCATACAAAGTTTCCTCCCCGATTCTTCTGTCTCCCGGCAACAAATTCGCAAAGAAAATCCCGTTAAAGCTTAGGGGTAGGGAACAATGTTATGCTTTGTTGCCAACGCAATAATAGCTTCGAAAGAATTGCGTGTATTACAGTCATAGTAGCTTGCACGACAATAGGGCCCTTCTTGTCTGTGTACACAACCCGAAACATTATTCCGGCAGCTCCCCGTACTAATATTTACTTTGGGGGGAAATGTTGCTCTAAACAGTAAACAGTTTAATCCCTTCGAAACAAGATATTTCTAATGAGGACAATAGTTACCCGTAAAACTTTCTGTGTCACTTTATCGCAAAGAATTTTTTAAGTTTTATAATTTTTACGATGCGCGCGCACACTGACAGGCAAAAAGCAACATGATGAGGTTGGTTTAAAAGCGACCAACTTCACAGTATTACCATGGCAACCAATAACGACTTTTTGATTTACATAATAATTCCAACTTATTTAAATCAACCGTTATCAATTGCGTTTAATGCCTTTTTCAAAAACAAAGGGTATACTGGCACAGGGGATAAAACTTTTAGTTATTTTTCTTTTGTTACGCTTAAGATGTATAACGTGCGTACATAAGTGCACATTTATTTAATTCTTTTATTAAAAAGAACGAAAGTGAAATGTTTGCATTAGATCAAACGAACTTATCGGAAATGAATCGTTGGAAAACCCGTCAAATTTTCCACGGTTGAATTCTGCCCTGACATAAGTGAATATTGCAGAAGCTACGAGCGTCGCGCTATGAGGGGCAAGTACGTATCCAATTTTGTTGGACGTCAAGTGCACGCACGTATGCCTTGCGAGCGGACAGGTTGTAATTCAGACCGCACTGCTGCAATCAGCGTTGGGTAAATGCCCGTCACTGTTAAAAGGATTATGACGCGACTAAAGTTATCACCTCCATGAATATTTAATGTTATCGGTGTTAACAGTTTAACTGTGATATTTTGCCCTGTGACATGCGTTGTTTTTTTTTTTCACTCATATTTAATAGATCCGCTTAGAATGCAAAATTTTACGTTTAAATTTTTATTTTGGAACGAAGGTTGTTATCGCACGGCGGATTTATATTTGGCCGGCTAGGCGCAAAAAAAGTATAAGATATTTTTCGTCACATACGAGTAACTACTTTTTGACTTTTACCAATAATTCCAAGTTATATAAAACGTTATCATTAACAATTAATGTCTTTTTCATATAAAAGAATACTGGCACAGGCGATATATTTTTTAACGATATATGTTTATCAATAATAGTGATAGAGAGTTCCAAGACTCTCACACATTTATTTTTCTTATTTGTGTCTCTCATATAGTTTGTACAGGCAAATTTTTTGTACTGTTTTGTAATTCAAACTTGTCCAACCTTGACAATGAAATCCCACTTAAATTTATTTATAATTGACGCCAACTCACGCCATCTATTGATAGATTATGCCCAAGCACATTATGGAAAATTTCCCAGGAGCCTTTCGAAATCTCATTACGGAAAGTCCGCATGTGCTAGTGACATATGACTGATTACGATTGCTGCCACACCATGCTCGGACATGTACGGCGTGAACGGATTTTAGGCGCGAAATAAAAGACATTTTTGTGTGGTACTAAGGTTATGTTTGAATAAATATAACCTTACTACCACATAAAAAAATATTTAACAACAACCAAAATATAATATGCTGATATATTGAGCGGCTTAGATTTAAGACGGACATTTTTTTAGGACAAATCAGTGAAGAGTTTTGAATACATTCTTCAATATCTCTCCTGCTAGTGATTTGATAGTTTCAGAGTTTTTTTTTCAAAAGTAAGGTCATTTTATCAAAAGGTCGCGTTATTTTTTGTTTAGTCAAGCTCTTTAAATGAACATCCATAAACATATACATAACACATAGTAAAGCTTTTTTCATTGTACCAATTTTATACAAACCGACAGTAAAGCTCTGCGAATTTTACATAATGTACAACGCTTCGTTCAATATAAAATCTGATTTGCTCGATGCAGACAGAAGTAAGAATATGAATATTCAGCCACAGTTCCCGAGCTTGCAATATATTATATTCATGATAACAAGGTTCGTCAGCAGTACAGTGCAAGCGTCTTCGACTGCAATCGTTTCTTGCTAACACGTACGCTACACGGTCGTCTGTGATTTCACGGCGCGCTAACTCTTGGCACGCAAAGCGTACTTCATAATCCGATAATATCTTAAAAAAAGACTGGCATATTTAAATTGTAGCAGCACCAAAAGGCTTTGTTAGCAAGGAATAAGAAAGGCTCGACATTCACTCAAACCTTTTTCGATATACTTTTTTTTCGACTCTCTCCAGACGATCCAATATTTTATGCAACCGGTTTAATCTGTTATTAACAAGTTTCGAGTGAAATGAGCAGCCGGCCCGCGCTTGCTTCCTTACGCCCCGGGGAAATGTAAGAAAAGTAGGCGATATTTACACTGTCCCGTACGAGGGTGCATACGCGAAGATGGGGGGACGGCGCAGATCTCGCTTGTTCGAAATGAAGTTACCGATCCGCACAGAAATTGTGCTTTATTTCTTACAGCGTGTGATGCGGAAAAAACTTTGAAGGAGCACTCAAACAATCCACATACACATTTTTTTTTGCTTTCATCAGAGAATAAAATTTCTTTCGCTAGCGTCTGCTAAAGTAATTCTTCATTTTAAACCACTATCTTCTGAATTTTGTTATAAGATTTGAAACTACAGCGCGTATTTTATTATAAAATAATCATGCGACCTAGAAATTTTTAACAGAACAATTATTTATTAAGTTTGTATGTAAAGCAAAGACAGATTATCATGAATAAGTTTTTAATTTATGGTGATAACGCATCTGCAACCCTACGGATGTTGCAAATGTCCATGGGCGGCGGTTATCATTTTATATTATATAAGGTGAACCGCCACAACTCAGTTGCCACCTTCTCACATAAAAAAATTTCTTCATATAAACTAAGATTAACTCGTAAAGATATTTAAGTAAATGTTTAATTTGTACTGGTCATTTAATATACAATTAAATAAGTAATAAATTCCGCATTCTTATTCCGTAAAATAATCCGTTTTTGCAAATCCATTTCACTTCTAATAAAGCTGCTTGTTGTAACCATTTATTCAACTAACACGTCTAGGCGGGCTATGCATACGATTAAAACCAACCAAGTGCATCTCTTGTGTAAGTATGCAAATTAACCAACATCTCTCTTATACTAAATCGTATTGACGGTGGCTTTAATAATCCATCTGAATATAAAATATGCACGTAAGTGAAGATGTTGACGGATAGTGAAATTCGGTCTCCACCCACGGCATCATAAGCATCTTAAAATGCTTGTAGGTTTTCATTTAAAACGAAAGTCTCTGTTGTATTGTTCGCTCGTTTCGCTAATGCTCGTATCGCTTGGGCGTATTGAACAATTACCACGCAAATCGACTTACTCAATAGTAGTTGGCGGCATTGAAATATTTCGTAAGATGCCTAATAATGTTTCACGTCACGATTTTTCGAATAACGTGCTTCACATTCCCGCGTTGTCGGAATATACGTATACATACATATTTATTAAATAAGAACGTGCGTAAATAACATAAAATTATTTTGCATTAGGAAACAAAAAAACGTTTCAGAAATTTATTAGAAAACGTGGAATATTAATAGACATCTTTTTATTATATATTTAAATGTATCAACTCTAAAGGCGACACTCAATTAATTTGAAAACGGGGTTTCTAAGTTCGTTAGCTTTATAGTTTTGAACTATTGATTGAGAACTATTGGTTATGATAATAAAAATGATTTGAATTATCAATCTTCCAGAGAAATCTGGGCCATCCTTTTCTATTATAATTCTTAATGTTAATAGGCTCGTTGCCTTGATTAAAATAGAACCGACTTTGATGATAGAATTAGAGCTTTTTGGCGAATGGTTCGAAACTTTTCTCGACAGCACATTTATCACGTCTGTATCGAATACAAATGAGAGACATCCCATCAGTTCGAATCTTCTTCGTTAGATTAATTTAAACGGAAACATGGAATTCTATAATTAAGCCTTTGAACTGGGCCACCGAGTTTTGTTGCGAGGCGTTCTCGCCGGATTCCTGTCTATCTGGACAATTAAGTCTAACAGTAAACACGCTGTGGCTTAGACATCAACGTCGCGGTGCCCGATCGTTTGCTTTGTATTTCCAAACATCCACGCTCGTGATACCTATTCGAGGCGAGGCGATAGGTGACTCTACACGTTCACTTCGCACGGAACGCACGCCTGTACGCCTTGGAACGTGTCTCTCCAATCAGGTCTCAACTTTAACTTAAAGTACTTTGAAAAAGTTTTTAATTATATCTCCAAATATTTTAATAGCGTTTCTGTTGTTTCAGATGTCTCTGAAGGCGAATCCGTTTACCTGATTTGTCACAGTGGAACGGAACACATCGCGACAGGTGTAATGAAATGTGAATTTAGTGTTGACAGTGTTAAAATCTGGCTCGATTTGTGAGTTAATCGTTTGTTCCCCGATGAAGTTTCTCGTGTAATTGTTGACGTTACCTGACTTTTGCCTTCTGAAAAATCTATCGTCATGGAGACCGAAGAACTTACGAAACTCGTGGATGGCATTTATAAGGTAAGAGAAATTTTGTTCTGGAAATAAATCCAGAATGAATTTGCTGGATTTATTTAATTAATCATTGCTATATGTATGACATTAGTGTATTTAAAAATGTAATTATTGAATACAATAACAAAATTAAAATTACGTATGAAAACTATATTTAAGTTGTGCGAAGTTACGGAGCTTAAACTTGATATTATTTTTGTCCATAAATTAGTGTTTGATTACATATTTTTTTAATTTATCGTATACTTTTGCAAAATTTTAGATACGATTACTAATTCGATAACACTAAATTTTATAATAATATTAAATGAACTAAGTGAGATTCATTTAATATTATAAAGCACAATAAATACTTCATTTTGAGTTCATGAAAGTGAAATACCATAGGCAATTGTGTTCCGCCACAGGCGGATCTTCGAGCACCTGCCATATAAATGTCAAGGTCAAAGAGTCAACCAACGACTCCAAAAACATTTAACGGAGAATGGTCCGTGCGATTTCTCTCATACATTTCTCAAATAATAGCATTAAATGCATGTATGTTTTTATCAAGAACGTCTATCGATCTTTACCTGTTGCGGATGTTTACAAATTAACTTTTTGATGTCTTTATTATTCAGTTTACAAATTAGTACCTGGAGGACCGAGCTTTGTTCGGTTTTTTGGTAAATCGTGTATTTTGGAAATAAAAAAAATAAAAAATAAAGAAAGCAATGATCTGCTATAGAAAAAAAAGTAAAAAAAATAAGCGTGTAAATGATCGTGACACGAACCGCCGCAGCCTTCTGTTTTGGGGCCGCCCGATTACCGACCGAGCTATTATAACATTTTTTTTCGGCGAAATTTACCATCATATTCGAATGATATTTTTCATTCTCTGAAAACAGGGATAAAAGGACATTTTCTAAAAGGCGAAAAATCGATATATATATATATACAAGAATTGCTCGTTTAAAGGATAAGATTATTTTCTTCGATTGAGGTATTTTTCTAAGCTGTAATGTTTTCTCCGACTTTATCTTTAATATTATAAAATTACTTTCTATTGATAATTTATTATAGCTTAAATAACTAACGAAAAATTTATATTATTATTAGTGATAACAAAACTTACAATATTTTTTTACTAGCTAAGAATATTCAAATTTTGTATTTTATATTCGATAATAAGTAGATAATACAGATTATTTGCCACTTTATTTATTAAAGGAAATTAACCTAAGAATATAACAACTTAATATGTTCACAAAGTTATGATGACAAAATTTGGCAAAGTAGTCTAATATAGTTTTAAACTAAGCCTTTCTGTGAACGTGGTGTTAACCATACGTATTAACGTCTTTTGCTCGAAACAGTTTCGCACATTTAAACTTTGCATACGAAAGGATATTTTCATCGTTGAGGACAAAGTGGCACAGTTATGAAGGTTAGTAAAGCATAATGAGAATGGAAATTATACAGAGTTCTCCCATTTTAATATCCGCTAGAATATGATATGATATGATTGCGTGTTCATCAAATTTCCTCCGGCGAACCTTTTCGATTTTATGTACTCGTTGTTTTAAATATCACTCTACATCATAGAGTTGTTCATTAGTGCTCTTTTGAACAATCAATACCTTTCAAATTAACGGCTGGCTTTATAAAAAAAATATCTAGAATTAGGACTAATAAAATAGTAGTATTTCTAATGTATTCGTATAAGATGTAACATATAATCTAGTATTTCTTAATAATAGTTCTATCTGTAGTTTTTGTATGATGTATTTTTTTATTTTAATAAAAAATTTAACGCATACAATTGAAGAAAAATAAGGATTATGAGTTTTGCTGTTAAATAAGTGTGCTCTGTTGGTTCGAATTTCAAAAATATTTGATAATTTTTAATATATAATGCTTTCCAATGTCCTTAAGTGAGTTCTTTTATTTTCTTAACTTTTGCGCGCATAATTCAATTGAATCTGGAATTTGTGTCACTGAATTTAGCCTTAAACGACTCGATCAATTACAAAGTTCGCAGAGTATTGCCAAAATAAGAAAGCAATCGCGCCCTGAATACCAAAAAGCGGCTTAAAGATATGCGGCACATTTGTCTCCGCTGCGATATCAGGCAACGCATCTTACCTGAAGCAACAAAACCATTGCCCTCCGACCTGTCTCGCCTCAAGGAAATTAAGAGCCAACCTTCATTCCAGAGCTCAAAGCTCGTTGGCGCCTCCCAGTTTCCCCCTCCCAGAATGAGATTGCTTCGCGACATTAAACCGGCCTGATGTAAATTTCCTCGTAAGGTTCTGTTTGTTTGCTAGTGGAGAGCGTGCGATTCGCGATTTCCTTAGTTCAATGAGATAATGTTTGTTGCTTCAAAACACCCCATTGGCAGTTCAACGAAAATCTCAAATAGCTAATGGCGTTCTTTATGCATGTAGATTTATAAATTGTACATTACCTTACTGTAAATGAATGTAGTATTAAGATTACTTACGTACATAAAAGCAGAAGAAACATTTTTCCCAAATTTAACTGTTACATTACACGTATCGCTTTCAATTAAGCTGAGTTTGCAACAAACAGATATCTCGCATGTCTTTTAGCAGTTATTCGTACACACGAATACACGATCGCTAAGTAAATTAGATGTCGTGCATGAATGAGGTGCCGACGTGTCTAGTGGGGAAAAAGATACAAATTGACTGTCCAACATCTAGATCACTTCGATCGTTTCAGATAAGGAAATTTGGGACATAATCAACTCTGTAACCAATTAACAATCCAAAACGCTTAAAAATACTTTAGGATAAAGAATAATATATAAAGGACGGAAAGACAGAGGAAAATAAAGAAATCACAAAACGATAATATCATTTTGTAATTTATCTTTTCGTTGTATTTTTTGTAGCCTTCTACGGGAGTTTTTGTTCCGCGGGTACTAGCTCATTTAGACTATGGGAAAGGTATTATAAAATCTACAAACTAAAGATAAGTTACGCACAATAACTTATCATCGTCATTTCAGCCTGTTTTGGTCCACTGTTGGACAGGACTCCATCACAGGCTAATCGGAATTATGATATAAGTAAGTTCGAAGTCTTTATCGAACCCTAAAACATTCGATTTCATTGTAAAGGTTAATGTAATAATGCGTTATTTGAAGGGATACAAAATGTAATGACTAGGGTGTTATTTTGTTTCAATAAGATAACTGCATTATTCAGGTCGTACTGGTAGTATTTCTAGACATACAGCTTGTGGGTCAGATAAGCGTTAGATGGTGAAAGCCTAAGTGCAGTTATTCGGGTCAATTATAATAAGTTCTAAGTGTCATTGTTACTTTCGCGTAAACTCAGGCACGTTTTTATATATAATATCAATAGTTTTCATGCCATGGAACGTTAAAGTATCAACTCATTCTCGGTTAAGATCCGTGAAAATGCTAATGGCATCTTGAAGACTACATAAAAACTCATGAATCATGGAAATAATCATTGTATGAAAAATAATATAATCATAGGGATAATATAAAATATAAATATAATCATGGATATAATCATAGATATAGATAATATACTATAATAACATAATAATAATAACATATTTTTTTTAAATCTATAAACCCAACCAGACGAGAAAACAAAGGAATATCCCCAACATAATAATAACATATAGATAATATAATAATAGATAATATAAATATAATCATAGGGATCATCTTCTATAATAAACACGTACAGAATCGTAAATACGCAAATGCCATTTATTTAAAGCGCTCATGTTGTAGAATGCTTAAAGGAAATTCTTTTTCCGAGCGCTCGATAAAATGAATGTCGGTAAAATTATCGCTACTGCAGCGGATACTGGAAGCGGGCTCTATCTAGAGCAGTGCAGTCATGAGTCCCGAGGGTAAATCGCTGCCCGCACTTATTTGAATAAGAATGGCCAAGTTCAGGATCCCTTGGGGCCCAATTGAGGACTCCTCAGTTCACCTTCATTCACTAGCCGTGCCCAATACGCAATTTGGTCGAAAACATAACTACGCTGCTCCGTCCATGCATGGAAGTAATTTCCTAAATGAATTTGAGACCCTGCGTCTAAATATTTCACCAAACTATTTATTTCGTTGTAAATACGTGCTGCCTAGAAATGTTTTTGACTAAATCCACTGTAAGTGTTATTATTAAGGTAATTTTTACATATCAAAAATAAACTAAATAAATATTCATTAATTCATTCAAATATTCATTAATTAATTAATTCATTCAAACTAATGGAAATACCATTGAAAAGTTAAAGTAGTAAAACTAGTTCTAAAATAAGCAATCAAATGGAATATCAATTTAAATATCATAAACTTTTTTTATTCGGAACTTTATGTCAAGTTGAATTGACCAGGACCATAGTCTATATTGTAAAGCATTCACAACTATTATGAAAGGCTGAGAGATCATTTAACATTTACATTATTTTAAAATTCTAAGTCGAGATCGGTATGCAATTGGCAGTGTTGTCTAAATTAAATTCGCAACTTCCGTATGCAAAACGCTCTAATATATTTTATAATCATGCTACGGACATAGTAAAATTTTATGCCATACAATAGAATTTTAGTATTTTGGTAACTCTTACATAATTTCACGTATAAGTGAAAACATGTTAAAGTAGAAAATCGCGAAATGAACGAGTCATAAAAAATATAGTTACTATTGAAAGTTTTTGTCCGACATTTAAAGAGCTTACTAGAAACAAATTTAATTACAGATATGTTTGAATATGTATGTATATTTGCTAGATTATAATTATATTTCCTGCATAATAATAGCCGTGACAGCTCTTTGTTCGAGTGCTCGAATTTAATTTTTCGCAAATAGCAATAGCAAATTTTGCAAGGAATAGATCTCCGGTACCGGCAGCAATGAAATTGTTAATTTTTGTACTGACTTATTACATGCTCAGCGGTGAAGGAAATCATGCATCGTGAGGAAACCTGCATATTTTTGAAACAATAAAAAAAA